CCTTTACTTCTCAGGGCTGCAAGGCTGCAGGAGCCTTGGGGCACTCCATTACATGCTGAAGGCACGGTGGCGTATACAAACGCTTTGCAGGTGGTACATCATATGTCTGAGGAGCGCGCTTTGCCGAGCAGCTCTTTCAACTTGATGCACGCTTGCAGGCGCACGGACATGCACGCACAGACGCGCGCGCATTGCCGCGCGCCCTGCGCATGCCGACGCGGGATGGTATTCTGCTGCCGGTCTGGGGCGTTCTCCAGCCGGTTTGGCCCAAGAGCACGGCTCGGCCACGCGTAAGAGTGACCCTTCGCCGGAGTGACCTCTGGTGCGGGCCCACAGGGGTCCCTCCGGCAGTGGTTTGCCCGCGTGGCTCCTAGACCCCGACGACGTGTTTTTTTCACAACGTCGACCCCCAGAGATCTGGACCCCTTCCCATGGAACCCGTTGTTCAGTCCGAGTTGTTTCTTGACTGCCTCGAGGCCCGGCAAGAAGGCCATCGGGAGTCCGATGTCGTGTTTTTTTCGCAGCGTCGACCCCCAGAAGTCCGGACCCTCTCCCTGGAACCCGTTTTTCATCCCGAATCGTGTCTGGACGGCCCCGAGGAGGAGGCGGAGGAGGAGGAGGAGGAGGAGGAGGAGGAGGAGAGGAGGAGGAGGAGGAGGAGGAGGAGGAGTAGGAGTAGGAGGAAGGACAGGAGGAGGAGGAGGAGGAGGAGGAGGAGGAGGAGGAGGAGAGGGAGGCCGAACACATAGGAAGAGGAGGAGGAGGAGGAGGAGGAGGAGGAAGGCCGAACACATAGGAAGAGGAAGGAGGAGGAGGAGGAGGAAGGAGGAGGGGAGAGAGGAGGGGGAGGTGGAGGGAGGGAGGCCGAACACATAGGAAGAGGAGGAGGAGAGGAGGAGGAGGAGGGAGGTAGGAGGAGGAGGAGAGAGAAGGAGAGAGGAGGAGGAGGAGGAGGGAGAAGAAGGAGGAGGGAGGAGGAGGAAGAGGGAGGAGGAGGAGGGAGGAGGGGGGAGGAGGAGGAGGAGGAGGAGGGGGAGGGAGGAGGAGGAGGGAGGCCGAACACATAGCGACCAAGCCTCCCGTGGTGTTTTCACTTTTCACTTCTCCGGCGCGAGAGGGGGTCCTCGGAGTTGGCCGCCTCTCGCGGCCCCCCTGTGAGGCCACACGCCGAGGGCTAGGTCGCGCACGCCCCCCTACCGAAGGAACTCTTCAAAATAGTTCACAAATCGTCTGGATACCATTTTTCGACTGTCTCTGGCTATTTTGGAATCGTCGTCCTCCTCCTCCTCCTCCTCCTCCTCCTCCTCCTCCTCCTCCTCCTCCTTCCTCCTCCTCCTCCTCCTCCTCCTCCTCCTCTCCTCCTCCTAGGCTCCCCCTCCTCCGCGCGCCCCCCCTCGGGGCCTCCTCCTCCTCCTCCTCCTCCCCCTCCCTCTCCCCCTCCTCCTCCTCCGCCTCCTCCTCGGGGCCGACCATTTTTCGACTGTCTCTGGCTACTTTGGAATCGTGTCTGAGCTATCCTACAATTGTTCGTCCAAGAGTCCGCCTGCAGGCGGACGTGCCCGACCCAAGCCGAGGGCCACTCCTGCCCATATAGGGCCACTCTCACGTACCCTGACATCCGACGTTGCGAAACAAAGTTGCAACATCGCAAGAATCATGCCCGGAGCCCTAGACCCTGTGCTCCTGCCTCGTCTCTCGAGCCGGATCGATCTGCCCAGGGTTTCGGGGCCCGGAATGGAGCGAACACGCCCGTGGCAACAACAGCTGCAACGCCATTGTCTCAGGGTACAACGGCACCCGCCGCGGCTCCCGGCGCCCGGTGGGCGACCCGCGCTGGATCTGGAGGATGCCTGTTGTGGCCACTTCTGATGGGCCCATTTTCCGCCACCTCTATCACAGGTAGGACGGGGGGGGAAGGATGGGGAGGTCCTCCTCCTCCTCCTCCTCCTCCTCCTCCTCCCCATCCTCCCCCTCCCCCTCCTCCTCCTCCTCCTCCTCCTCCTCCTCCTCCTCCTCCTCCTCCTCCCCCTCCTCCTCCTCCTCCTCCTCCTCCTCCTCCTCCTCCTCCTCCTCCTCCTCCTCCTCCTCCTCCTCCTCCTCCTCCTCCTCCTCCCTCTCCTGCACCTGGTGGTGGTGGTGGGCAAAATCGGCCCCTCGACTGCCCTGGGCGCCGCTGGCCTCCTCGGCGCCGGCTTCGCCGCCGGCCGCCTGTCGGCGAGGCCCCGCGGGCGGAGGAGGCCCTCGGGCAGGGCGTCCGAGTGGCGGACGCCGGAGGCCTTCCAGGCCGGAGGGGGGAGATGCGACACTCAATCGGGAGCCTTGAGACGGGGGTCAACGCAAACGGGGGTCAGCCAGAGCGCCCCGGCCTTGCAGGATCCTGCAGGGCCAGGGCGACCCTCGAGCAGGAGACACTCGAGCAGTGGCGAAGCGTCCTGGCCCGCCTCTACCAGGAGCGAAAGAAGGACGTACATGTACATGAATCCACGCTGGTTTCGAGAGTACGCATCGCGCAAATGTTCGTATAACGCGGCCGGTCTCGCGGATCGAGGGGCCGTGTTCATGTGCATAGCCGGGCGCGTACGTCCTTTGTGGGCTCCCTACTATAGCCCTACCAAACGATGGTCTAAGAGCCTCTTGCGGTTTCCACGAAATCTTCTTATAGAGCATTTCTTGGTGAGATTGTCTTGTTTTGACACATCGGGTTTATGGTCTAAGAACATTGTTTTTGTTTTATGAACATTTGTGGGGTTCTGAGAACATTTCGTGGACTATAGGAATGCCGGGACGGTCGGTCCCTGCTGAAGACACCAATACCACCGGGGGGGCCACCTCCAGCGAGGAGGTCCACGATGCCTCCCCGAGCTGGAGGCTGGGAACGTCTCGAGCGAGAGGGGGGGGACCACACCACCAGGGCGACGCCCCTTGCTCCTCGCATCTCCTCGCCGTGGTGGCGTTGGTGTCGCCTTTCCTTGCTCATATCCAGGTGCGCGGCAGGGAGGACGCCGTGGTGATCGTGGACCTCGGGAGGAGGAAGGCCCAGACATCGGGCGTCTCGAAAAAATCGAGACTGAGGTTTTTCGTTGTTTTCGGCCTCTCGGGGCCCTCGCCGAGCCTCGGGACCGTCAAAAACGACTCGGGATGAGAAACCGGTCCTGGGGAAGTGGTCGGGAGGTCGGGGACACGTGTCTCGAAAAAATCGAGACGTCGGATGTATGGGGACCCAGACCCCCTCGGGCAATGACAAGAAATTGCGGCGGGAGGTGTTGCGCTATATTTTCGGCTTCCGGGGGCCCTTGCCGGGACTGGGGGCCGTCGAAACACGACCCGGGACGAAAGACCGGTCCCGGGGACCCAGACCCCCGATGTCATGGTTTTTTTTGCATGATATCGTCGACCCCCAGAGGTCTGGACCCCTTTCCCCGGGACCTGTTTTTTGTCCTGGGTCGTTTTTGGACGGTCCCGAGGCCTGGTCAGGGCCCCCGAAGGCCGAAAATATAAAAAACACCTCCCAGCGCGATTTTGTTCACAGCGCGAGATGGTCTGGGGAAGGGTCCAGACCCCTGGGGGTCGACGTTGCGAGCAAAATCGCGGCGTCGGGGGTCTGGGGGGGGGTGCCGCTGCCCTGCCCTCGTTGTCGCCTGTGGGGCTGGCGGGGCCCACGTCGCCACCGCGGGATGCGGCTCGAAGGCGTGGTCAGAGCGCACCCTGGGAGAGGTCCAGTTCAGAGCCCCGAGTCATCAGGGGTAACTCGGGTCAGGGCTAACTCGGGTTCGTCTTTCGGGAGTCCGAACCCGAGTTACCCCGGGCCCGAGTTACCCCGGATATTTCGGGCGTCCAGAGCCCCACATCATCAGGGGTAACTCGGGTCAGGGCTAACTCGGGTTCCTTTTTCGGGAGCCCGAGCCCGAGTTACCCCGGGCCCGAGTTACCCCGGATAGTTCGGGCGTCCAGAGCCCCACATCATCAGGGGTAACTCGGGTCAGGGCTAACTCGGGTTCCTTTTTCGGGAGTCCGAACCCGAGTTACCCCGGGCCCGAGTTACCCCGGATAGTTCGGGCGCCCAACCAGGGGAGTAGACCCAGACATGATCGCGTCGTTAAGACGGGAGGCTTTGGGCCGGTTTCGGATTCGGGGGGCCCTGACCGTGCCTCGGGACCTTCCAAAAGACGACTCGGGATGAAAAAAAAAACGGGCCCCAGGGAAAGGGTCGGGACTGTCAAGGACCCCGTATTGAAAAATCGGGGGCGGACGGAACCCCCAACAGTGACACGCCGATTCGTGAATTGTCCGTTTTCGGTTCTCGAGAGGGCGCCGCGGCCGGTATTTTCCAGGCTTGCGCCCGCCAGGTTTGGGCCTCAGGTCGTTTTCACTGAAGCACGTTTTGCTAAAGGGATGTCTGTCCATCCCCGAACAAAAACCAGGACGTCGCATGTCTGGGGAGGTATCCTGATCTCCTGGCACAGTCGAGCATCTGATTAAGAGACCTCCTCCCAAAAGGCTGGGCCAGCGTTTCTTCACCAACTTGCCGGAAAGCTGGCCCAGTTTCTTGAGCACGTTCGCCCCTCCAGCTTGAGCAACAGAGGCTGGCCGCTTGTTCCGAGAAACTTCAGGAAGTTGACCCATGTTTCTTGCATGATAAGTTTCTTGATCATATTTTCTCGCAGGCGACTTGTTATCCAGACGCACCCATCGAGGATGGACGTCGCCCCATCGTGTATCCTAGGGGTTGCCCCCAATTTTTCATGGTCCATTCGAAAACCTCTCAATGCCTGGAAGAGGGGTCGACATATCCCTCGTTATTTTCGGCTGTATCCCAAGGACCCCCTGTCGACAGGCGCGCGGCTTGCGTACGAGGCCCAGTTGAGGGGCTACAGGGTCATCCGCTGCCTGTCCGCCCCCTTCCCAGAGGCTCTGCTGCGCATGGTGCCCGAGAGCTGCAGGGACCTGCAGTTCGTGGAGACCATCACCAACACGGGCGGCCCGACAGAGACGGCCAGGCAGCTTCTCGACCTGCCGTACCACATGAGCGATGCAAAAAGACGGGGTCGTCTTCGCCGACATTGGCGCGTAAGCTGCCCGCGTAAGGCCGCGCGTGAGCGCCCTCGTCTCCACTGCAGCGTGCCGCGCCGGCGGCCCGCGCAAACCGCGGCGTAAGGCCGCTATGCCATCTGGCCTAGGACCCGTTTTTGATCGTCGCTCTCATCACCGCCTGCCTCATCGGGTGCGAGTCGGGCGTCGAGTTCTTCGACGCACTGACGGAGGCGATGCCAGGATTCCCTACGAACGGCGCGGCCTCGAGCCCCGCGCGCCGCGACAAGTACCTGATGGGCGAGTGCGTCCGGCGCGCAGGTCTTCGCGCGGTCAAGCAGCAGGAGTGCAGGGTCTGGCGCGGGGATGCCGCGAACTTTGTCTCGGAGCTGGGGGTGCGCGAGGACGACCCGGCTGGTCCCTGGTGTGTGCTGAAGCCTACGAAGTCCGCGGGCACGGACGGGGTGTTCATATCCAAGACCGTCAAAGATGCCAGGGAGTGCTTTGACAAGATCTTGGGGGCGGCCAACGTCTTCGGGGAGTCCAACCAGACCGTCCTCGTGCAGGAGTTCTTGAAGGGCACAGAATACGTGATTGACTCGGTGTCCCTGGAAGGGCAGCACAAGTGCGTGGCCATCTGGGAGTACGACAAGAGGCCGTGCAACGGCGCGCAGTTCGTGTATTTTGGCATGCGCCTCTACCAGTCCGCCGACGGCGCCCGTGAACGGACAATGGTGGACTATGTGCACAAGGTTATCGATGCACTCGGCGTGCGGCACGGACCTACACATGCAGAGGTCATGTGGCTTGACGGGGAGGGCGCGCCATGCCTCGTTGAAGTCGGCTGCAGGCCTCATGGCGGCGAGGGTACCTTTGTCGATCTTGTAGAGCCGGTCATCGGCTACAGCAAGATTTCCGTCATGCTAGACGCATTCGACAAAGCCTACCGCTTCAAGCGCCTGCCGAATCTGCCCGAGAAGTTCGAGGGTGGCTCCATGGAGGTGGACCTGGTGTCGCGACAGGAGGGCGTCCTGGCCGGCTACCCGCTGCTTGGGCAGGTCAAGCGGCTCCGATCTTTCCACACGATCGAGATCAAGACACCCCTGGGCGCTCGGCTCGAGAAGACTGTGGACTTCATGACGACCCCGGGCTGCATCAACCTCGTGCACAGAGACCGCCGCGTGGTGGAGGAGGACAGGGCCTGGATCGAGCGCGCCCAGGAGGAGGGGCGCTTCTACGCCCTCGCCGACCCCGGCCTCCTGAAGGCTCAGGAAGGGAGAAAGCACACAGACACACACACACAATTACCTGTCGACCCCCCAGAAGAGATGGGAAAATAGGGGAAGCGGCGGGGAAGACAGACACCCAGAACACGCGGGGAGAGATGGGGGATCCTATTTGTTTGGTGCGTGTACTCATTTGTGTGCCCCGGGGGCCCCTTGCGAGGCGCAGAGCAAGAGCCACGGGCACCCCGAGACCTCCCAGTACTACATGTCGCCCGCCCGGCCGCCGGAGAGGCAGGCCACCGCCTGAGCGGCTCCGGAGGCCGCCCGCCTCTCGAGGAGCGGCACCTGGGAGACCCCGCCCGGAGGCGCGGGGAGCGCCGCCCGCGGCCCAATTCCCCAGCGGACCGCGGCCCTTCGCGGTCCGCAGGGAGGACTGCGTGCCTCCTCCTCCTCCTCCTCCTCCTCCTCCTCCTCCTCCTCCTCCTCCTCCTCCTCCCTCCTCCTCCTCCATCCTCCTCTCCCTCCTCCTCCTCCGTCCTCCTCCTCCGCTCCCCCTTCTCCCCCTCCCAGGCCCCTCCCCCTCCCCCTCCTCCTCCACCTCCTCATCCTCCGCCTCCTCTCCTCCTCCTCCTCCTCCTCCTCCTCCTCCGCCTCCGTTTGGCTTGTTCCAAATCCCTTATTCATCGTCCCCCGGGTCCGGTTTTGCAAGGCGCCTTCTCTGCAACGGGGGGGGGGTCCGGTTTGTTGGGGCGCTTTCTTTGGATCGAAGCTTAGGGGGTCCGGTTTATTGAGGCGCCCCGTCGAAGAGGGGGGCCTGGAATATGAGGTCGCATTTGGAGGGGGGTCCGGTGTTTTAGGGGGGGGGTCGATTCATAAGGGATTTGGAGTAACCTGCTTCGAGCGACCACGATGACCATGGCCAAGATGTCGCAGAAGCTCGTCGGCGCCGATCTCGGTCAGGGTCCATGCCGGCCGTCGCCGATGCGCGACGAGGACCTGCGCATCGGCGAGGGCCAGGACCCAAGCAGTGGCGAGGCGTCTTGGCGTGCCTGTAGGCCTACCAGGCAATGTTCTAAGAACCATTTTTGGTTTGCACGAAATGTTCTTAGAGCAGTTGTGGCTGGGACTGTTCTGTTTTAACACACCGCGTTTATGTTCTAAGAACGTGGTTTTTATTATCATAACATCTTTGGGTTCTGAAGACATGTCGTGGTAGGCCTCTAGAAAAACGCCGGGGCGGTCGGTCTCTGCTCAGAGGATGGGCGACGACCGAGATCGGCATCGACGTCTCCGCGGTCCGCCTCAGCTATGGTCACCGCTCTCCTTGGCTCCATAGAAGCGCGCTCGTCTGCCAAGTCTGCCGACCAGAGGCCAACCCTGAAAGCCGACGCAGCGACAAACAATTGCCACATCGCAGAAAATCACGCCCAGAGAGCCCCAGACCCCACCTGCGCGCGTCCTCTTGCGGGCCGGGTCGATCTGTGCGGGCCCTAGGGCCCGAAGTGGTGCGCGAAGGCGCCGGCTGTGAAACAGGTTGCAACGCCAGGATCTCAGGTGATCGTGTTTCTGTTCCTCGTCTTGCCGATCGGCGCGGGCCCCCAGGCCCTCCCTCCCCCCCCCCTCATGGAGTGGGTCTCGGACGTTTTTTTGCGCCTGCCTCGAGCGCGTGGAGTCTCCCCCATGATGGACGCACGGTTGCAAACAGCCGCACCGAGCAGAGGTCCAGAGCCGGGCCCCTTCCCCCCCCCCCCCGCCCCGAGGCCGCGGGCCTCGCCTATGCATGGCGAGGCCCGCCCCTGCCGAGAGGCAGGGGTGCTGCCAAGAGGCCTTCCACCTCCCCCCCATACATGCCCATCGGCCGTTGAAGGTGGGTCGTCTTGGAGTCCCAGATCCCAGTCTACTTTTTTAAAGCGCCTTCCCGCTTCAATGATCGAGTGGCTTCGCCTTTTCCGTCCTCTTCAGGGGGCGGGCAGACACCCAATCTGCTTTCCCCAGCCCCGACGTCGTGATTTTTTCACAACCTCGACCCCCAAAGGTCTGGACCCCTTCCCCGGGACTGGCTTCTCGTCCTGAGTCGTTTTTTGACGCTCCCGAGGCTCGGCGAGGGCCCCCGGAGGCCGAAAAGAGCGACCCCCCCCCCCGCCGTGATTTTTTTGTCCCACAGCGCGAGGGGGTCTGGGTCCAACGCCTTCCTGCTTCATGTCTCTACCTACTTCTTCCGACCGATGGGTACCCCCCCTCGGGCCGGACGAAAGGGGGGGATTGTGAAAGAGGGGGTTACGAAATCTGCTGCATGCAGCTGGTTTCGGCCCCGCCGAGGGGCCCATTCCTCGATACGTGGCCGCCTCCCCCCCCCCTTCCGCCCGACCCGAGTCATGGGGGGGAGCGAGAGGCCCAGACTTACGTCGGGCGTGTCTCTACAGGAGGAATGTTCAAAAATAGTTAAGTATTTGATTGTTCTGGATGATTCGGACGATGTTCCATTTTGCGCCCAAAATCCGCCTGTAGAGGGACATGCCCGACCTAAACCCAGACCCCCTCGCGCCGTGAACAAACTCGCGGCGGGAGGTTCTTCGCTATTTTCGGCCTCCGGGGGCCCTTGCAAGGCCCCGGGAGCGTCACTTTCAAAACGACTCAGGGCCAGAAGTCCGGTCCAGGGGGGAGGGGTCCAGGCCTCTGGGGGTCGACGCCGTGGAAGCGGTCACGACGTCGGCCCGACCTAAACCCAGACCCCCCTTTCGCCCGGCCCGACCCACGCTGGGGCGCGGCCCTGCGCCCCTCGCCGGAGGCGCGCGCTCGAGGCGTCCGAGCCCCCGCTCGGCTTGAGGAGGCGGCGCTGCGGGCGGGCCCGCTCGGCGGGAGGCCGCGCGGGCGGCGCGCGCGAGGGCAGGGCCGGCCCGTGGCCAGCTCCTGGCCGCC